CCCATTTTTTTATAATTAAAAAAAAATTCAGGGGTCCGAGCCATCTGGGCCGGCTTGAACTGGCCTAGCTTCAAAGAGGCATTTCATTGGGCATGTGGGATGACCTTGAAAGCTGTCAATAATACATAATCACTACAGTATGTTTTTAAAAAATGAGACTTATAGATAATGAGCTCTTAATGTGTATGGAAGTAGGCTACAGTATCCTCCTTACAGTATCCTCCCTGTGTATAAGGCAGCATTTTCTAGAGTGTATCTGATGTTAATGATATTGTACACCGTACTGTGATACCAAGGTCTTAATTTGTTCTTAATTAACTTAACATTATTGCCAAGTGGATAATTTAAACTCTCTTCAATTACCATCACCATGGAGCAGTATGCTACAGGGATTTGGTAGGTAAGATGCAGGCTTTCCAATTCATATAATGTCAGAGGTTAAATTATTCTACCACTTTGATGTGATAAATATTTTGACACTCCATGACATTAGTGAACAAGCAGCTCAGCTTCCTAAAACAAGTTTATATTCCATAAATTATGATCAACTGATCTCCAAGGCAAGAATTCCCAAATTTAGTGGTACTCGGCTATACTCTAAATTGCACTCTTGGGAAACTGATTTCTATTGTAGGCAACTGATTCCCAATCTTATTCTCAATCATGTACAACCAATCCCAAATCTGAACTAATTCACAATCTGGGAAAAATGTATTACGGGAAAAAATTTACAACTTGTGGGCAAAGTGCGGCCCACCTGCCACATGCAGCATGACGGCAGTTGTATTGCTGCCTGTGACAACAGTATGTGTGCGGCCTACCATCTTCGGCTAGAAAACCTTTGTTTTTATGCTCTGAGACCGATAAACTAAGCATAAAGCAGTATATAAGCAAGGTATGAATGTTTATCTGGAAATGGCAATGTTTGGGTGTGGTCCTCGGTGTTAATTAATCTCTGACCCATTTTTATGCTCACCCCTGGTATCTTGGAGTTAAGCATATGATGGTAATTTAAATGCAATGATTTCTGAAATAGATTTTTATTTCTTCATATCAAATATATCTTTAAATTTGCTGTGGATGTGAATCCAGTAATATCACAAATATATGCACATCTTTAAAATCATATGTGCCACTTCGATTCATTGTACACGATGCTATGTTGGCAGCCAGTTAAGTTGATTACCATGAGTTAATTAGATTTACCTGTGTCATGATATTGAACATTTTTTATCGCAAGTGTTCATACAGCCTGAAGTAACAACCCACTCTGATTATTATTCGCCGATTGTTGTCGATATTGATGGGAACCGGAGAAAAATAGGTTGTACCAAGGTCGGGCCTTGAAGTTTGGTTATTCAGCTGGTGATTCTAGATGGCCACTTTCACACCTTCACTATATGATTGTTTCCTATTATTGTTTATGTTGCAGAAAAGAGCTGTATGAATATGCTGTGGTTATTATGTCCACCTTCAAATGTTAAGATCCTTGGTTGAAATCTTGCAGATCCTTAGTATCTTGCAAACATTTATTTCTTGCATCTGAAAAACGACTCCACTTTACAACGCTCAATTCAAAAATTAGTTTAGTAGAACCACACATACCGGTAGTCTATTTCATCTTGTAGAAATATGAACGTTGAGTCACTTTAGATAAATAATGATTACAATGTAATTACAGAGACTGTATATACTGTATTTATGTTTTATTTGACAAGCACATGACCTGTGCCTAAATGGTTATGATGACATCACATCATGACCAAATATAGCCACATCATGACCATATATAGCCACATCATGACCATATATAGCCACAACATGACTGTATATGGGCATACAACAGTTTTTGTCGAAGAAAATTTGATAGTGTGGACAGAGCTTTAGGAAGGTGTAGTACCAGGGCGGATCCAGGATTTGAAGAAGGGGTTCAAAATGTTTCCAAAAAACCCCAAAAAGATAGGGGGGTCCGGGAAAATTTTGATTCCTATTGTAGATGGCCGAAAATGAGCTTTGTCAAATTATGTACTTGTGTATGGTGTAAACACATGTTTTGAGTCATAAATGTTACTAAGGTTTGACCAGTGATGTCATTAGTTGTTTTCTGCTATTAGACAGGGTCCTGGCTGCCAACTTCTGAATAGGCATATTTCCTTTTCTATTTTTACATCCATGCATGTGTGAATTATTAATAAATAAGTTTTAGAGTGTGTTGTTGTGTAAAGATTAAGTGATATTGTCCCCTTTCCTTGGGTTACTTTCCGTCTTTCTTTTCATTCCGGGGTTTTCTCCTCTCTGTTACCTCAACACTATTTTATTGATGGAGTGACTTGATTTAAAGGACACTAAACATTGCGTGTTCATTGAAGTGATATTGTATTGTCCCCTTTCCTTGCTCTCTTCACATTCAAACTTTTCTCCTTTTCTCTTACCATCACAATACGCAGCAAGACTTTTTCTCACGACTAAATACAGTACAACTCCACTCCCTAAGCCTCAATAAAGCCCCTTTCAGACAGAAAATACCGCAATAATACCCTAATCACGCCGCCATTATTGCCGGCGCAGACCCTTTCACACAGTTAGTTAAAATACGGTAATAGAGAACCCTGTCTGAAAGGGTTATCGCGGAAAAGAGTATTTGATGTCTGTGGCGCTTGTGCTTGTTAACAAAGAGGGCGCAAGTTTTTGTTTACTTCATTACATTAATCCAATATGGCCGGGGAGGGAAGAAAGAATTTAGGAAGCGTTTAAGGCGAGGCCGGCTTGAATTTCGAGCAGCTAGGTGCAGGCGATTTTCGCATCTAAAAGAACCGTCAGCTAGCGATTACATCGGCTATTTTAGCTGCAGCAGCGGTTAATGGCTGCTCGTGTGACCGTCTGATTTGTTATGCCTCAGTGTGTAAGACGGCGATGAACCCTGTTCAATTCACATCGAGTTGGGCAAAACTCGCTACGGTATTAATGCTATTAAGACTAGGTCCCGAGGAGGTCTAACTGAAGCCGGCGTTTAGGCGTATTTACCCTTTCACATAGAACGCCGGCGTTCGAGTAATACGGTATTAATACCGTTTTGCAGGTCTGTCTGAAAGGGGTATAAAAGACTTGGTTTATAAAGCATCATTCCATCCTGCAAGTGGCAAGTGTACTTGTTGCTGGATGTGAAGGAAATAAATAAATACTATTCTATCGATGTAAAATCTTGCTTTAGAAGGGCACAAAACATTGCTTGCAATGAAATTTACTGCAAAGCAATAATTAATTGAAATTAATTGATTGATTGATTAATTAAGGGAAAGTGGAATGGCTTTACAGTAGCTATTCAAATACTCCTAACCACAGGAAAATGATTGCGAATCATGAATATTTGCCTAAGTGCTAGATTCAATATTCCTCATGGTGTTACAGTGCAGTTACCTTTACTGTATAAAGCACTTGAAACTAGGTTACAATAAACTTCAGCATCGTGTGTAAACATTGGCTTACTGGAGATGAAAGCGTTAGTTAGAGGTGACCAGCATGTTTAATATTTATCATCGATTGATGAAATATACAGTATGCTGCATATTTAGTGTTTTTGCCTTTGTCTCTGAATTATCTACTGTATCCTTTTAAAGGAATATATGAATATAAGAAATTATTGAATTTGAAAAAGCAGGATAAATTGAATACTGAAATTCATTGAGAGTGTGCAGGGACTGTGAATTAACAGACAATTTTAGAATTATTATTTTACTTCCTTTTTATTTTGATTATGTATTTTATTTGTGTTTGTATTTATGTTTTTTTTTTGTTTACTTCAATAATGTTTTGTGATGGTGGTTCATCCAGCCAAAGAAATATGTTTTGCTTGTCAATAGAGACTTATAAAAAATACATAAAAACACATAAACAATTAACAAATATATACTGTACGTTAAAATGAAACCCTGTTTATTTTAATATTCAACTATAAAATAATTTTAAATGTATAAAAAGTATAAGGAATAATGTACTTCAAAACATTTTGTCAGAAATTTTTAAGACTAAAGTATAAAAATATATAAAAACAAGATAATATGACACTTTTATTGAAAATGTGATAAATATATTTTATCAAAATATATTTTATATATAACAAAATTTACAAGTATTAGTTATAACCATTTGATAAGTTATGGATTATAAATGATGTAACCAAAAATATTATCAGTATGTTATTTCTATCTGATAGAGCTACAGTTTCCGCTTTGTAATAATTGCTCAACGAAGCAACGTGATTGCGCTTTGTACTGCCGGATCAAATCTTATTTTCCGCGTACATGAGGCGTGGCTTATTTTCTTGCCTAATTCCATCATTCTGCTTCCGAGGCGAGTTTCTTGAACGTATTGTTTCATTCTATTGGAAATTGTTCAAAATTGTTACTAATTCAAATTAGTTACAGTATTCTCTGAAAGTGCATCAGTGATATAGCGTACAATATGCATATAAGAAATAAACAGTAATTGATTTTGTCTTCGTTGATTTTAATTTGGAATTATTCTAGATGAAAATCAAAATGCTACTATCATCAATGCATTATCATAAGGTAAGGCTTGGGATAGAGTTTCAGGGTGACGGCATGTGACGGTAAATATTGTTGACTTTAGGAAATGTAGCAACGGAAGCACCCTCTCCCATCTACTCTATTATTTCTGTGTTTTAATTGAATTGCAACAGAAGAGTGTACCATAGCATACCTCTGCATATGCAAATAATAAAAATTGATTCGCTACTCTATCAAGAAATTCTTTTCAATTTTCATTGATTATTTCAAATGAATTTTTATTCAGCAGGTTTTTATGGACGAAGCAGTACTCATACAATTATATTTTTTTTTTCCAGTTATTGATATTTTTTGCATTCTTATCTCACATTCTTTTGCTCATGTTTGTTTCAAGATAAATAGTTTTAAATATTTGTTAAAAGTTTTGTGTGATATCATTTAATCGTTTTTATATTTTGGTTTTTTATTCTACAGCCTTCACCAGCTCCTGTTCGAGTCAACACAGAGCGAGTAGAACAACAGCCGGCCATGGTACGACAACCAGCTCCTTATGTTAACGTGAGTATTGCTTAATTGTTATTATTTCTTTCATATGTTTTTATATTAAAAGGTACATTTTAATATAGATGGAGTCAAATAGTGAATTTTCAGAGATACAGTATAGTAAACTAAGAGAGAGATCGAAAAGATTTGGATGATTAATTGGGGATGATGATGATGATGAATAATAATGAATGTAAGGACAATGATGAGGTAGTTAAGGACAATGATGAGGTAGGTAGGACAATAATGAGGGAGGTAAGGACGATGATGAGGGAGGTAAAGACGATGATGAGGGAGGTAAAGACGATGATGAGGGAGGGAAGGAGGATAATGATACAGGTGAAGACAATGATTATGGAAGTGAGGACAATAATGAGGGAGGCAAGAACAATGATGAGGGAGGGGAGGACAATAAGTATGAAGACAATAATAAGTAACGGTCATAAAGGTAGGAGAATAAACAATAACTAATAGTGCCGTTTTGCTGAATTGCGTATGGGCGCGGTCCATGACTACCTAGTCGCTATAAAAAGGCGCTTATAGTAGAAACATAATCACATCATTACACAATGACAAGGGGGCTGAAATATATAATAGCATCAGGGTAACCTCCCACTACTCTTCCAAAAGATGCAATGGGTGCACATGAGACAGATGTGTATACATGACCTCTTTTTAAGTCCTTATCTGAAAAGACTTGGTTCTACCACGAAACGTGGACAATGACAGGGCTTGAACCAGCACAGATGTTAAGGGTGTAGCGTAGCCCCTTGCCTTACCGCTCGACCACTCGACACACCACCAGTGAGGTAAAGACAATGATGGTAGAAGATGAGAACAATAATGGTGATGATGTTGAGGATGAGTTTAGTAATGATGGATGTTTAAGAGTATGATCATAGTGATAATGGCATTGTTCAAGATAATGAGGATTACAAGGAGTGATTAAGATGGAGACAGTGTTGACAATAATTATGATTAGAATGATTATATTGATGATGTTGTGAGAGAGGATGCATAAGAGGTGGTAATGTTGATAATTATAGTGATTATGATGATGATTGATAATGATGGAAATGGGTGAAGATGTTGTGAGTGATGTTGATTTTGATGATGATATTGATAATGATAATGACGATGATGATGGTTCTGTAATGACAATTAGAGTGATTATGAAAATGATATTTTGAATAATGTAAATAAAATGGATTAGGATGATAAAGAGGATGATAATGTCGATAAGAGGTTTGCACAGTTTATCAGTACACCATTGAGAAAGCAAAATAATACACAAAATATAGGTGAATCCAATGCATTATGGGATTGATATGATATAGCTTGCTGTATGAAGCATAGTAAAAATGGGTGCATTGTGGGAATTAGTAAAAGATGCTGTAGTTTGATGTAATATAATCATGAACTTGAAACCTTGCATGGTAATTATCATGAGAAATCGATGTCAGTGGACTACACACATAGAAGCAAGCAAATCAATATGTATTCTAAATGCAAGCAAGTGCTCAAAGTCACCTGACTGTATCACATGACTTGGTTTTATGAATGTTTTATTTGCAAGATGATTATAAAGTTTAGAAGCCATGATTAGGTTAATATTTATTCATTGGTTTTTAAATTGAGAAATTATGTAATAAATATTATTTTTCATTTCATTAAACTTTAGGAACAAGGGCAAAGAATATATCAAATAGGAAACTTAATGAATTTTCTAAGTGGCTATCACTTCACAAGACAAACAATATACACATAAGGTGCTCTACATACTGTAGACCTATTATTTATCATCATTAAAGTCTTATTATGTAACCGTGACAGGAGTTGAACCCAGGGCCCTGGAATTGAAAAGCATTCATCTCAACCACCAAGCTATTCAAGTCCGATATGACATCACCACATTCTTATCTTCATGATTACAATTTTTGTTTGCCTATCAAATATTTTGTTCTTTTATCATTATAAAATTAATTTAGATATCTACTTATTAAAAAGTTACATTACATATTTGTGTTTCTTTTTCGTTCACAGCCAGCAACATTAGACGATGATAGATGGGACTACGAAGAAATAACTCTTAAAAGGGTAAATTAAGAATATAAATATAATTACTGTCATCTAATCTAACATCCATTCCCTATTCCTATTTACACTTACTGCAACCACTATTCTTATATTTTCATAATGTAATAGTCATGTCTTTCCGCTACACATCTCATAGGAGAAATTACTATAAGAAATTAACAAAATATATTCCTATTCCCACTTTCACACATCCTATTCTAACATCACTATGTACAGTACACCGTATTTACCTCTGCCAAGGAGGTTATATATTCACCCCTTTCCTGTTGCCCACCATACAAAGCCTACATATATTGTTCGTTATTCAGTCACAAGGCAGAAAATAATGGCGCTGTCCATCATATCCCAATTCAAATGACTTCCCTACCACCGCTTACCACCCGTGGAACCCACATACTATATCTACTACCAATAATGTTCAAAGTCCAAAGTGTATTTTTTCTCAATACTCTTGAGATTGGTAGCCAACAAAGAGAAATAGTTGGCTATCTTTATTTAATTAGCTTAATCTACTTAACTTAAACTATGAAAAAAAGATAAAAGCACAAAAATAAATAGAAGAGAACAACTACCACGGATTGGGTTGGATTGTGTTATTTGTTGAATTAAGAGTGTATTTCGAAAAGAGTAGATAATAATATGTCGCTCTTATATAGCGCTTCATGCACAATGCCTCTAAGCGCTGCACATTACTACCCCGGTCATTGGATCAAACACATATGGAACACATACTCAGTTCCCTGGGGAGAATTCCATAATATTGCAGCTAGTAATCAGCGCAGTTGTGTTCGAACCTACCAGGTACCCACTTGTACTCTTGGGTGGAGAGAGGCAACCGTAGATAAAGTGCCTTGCCCAAGGACACTAGCGATTTGCACAGCGAGAGCTTCGAACCTCAACCTCCAGGTTGGGAGTCAAAGCCATAACCGATAATAAGTGGAGTGTTAATTATTGAAAGTAAGGCACTTATCAACATCTTCTTTACCTGCACACACTGCTTATGCTGAATAAACTTGGTGCCCTCCATATGTCACCCCATCTCTGCTTGCTGGTTTTTCTTGCGGTAATAATAAGATGTATTGCTGCGGAATGGCAGCTGCGTGGAAAGCTCCATTTCCCAAGGGTGACATGCATCTCACCCGAGCTGTAGAGTTGGTTAATGGCGACTGATCTTTACATCCCATTGGATCCTATTCTAGTTCTTATTCTACTACTAAGTCATCATTTCTTCTTGGCCTATTTCACTCTAATTATAATATTCTTAAGGTTTCAATGACATACTTATGTAATCTGTAAATCTAATAGCTCAAGATCATTGGATCCATTGGGAGTTCTCCAGTATGAAAACATTGCTGTTTATTAGATTTACTATTGAGAATTAAGCGCTCTGTGGATTCTGATATTTGTCGGATATTCTAATTCTGTAATATGTATTCAGTATTAAATAGCATTTTCTTAAAAGTAATACAATTATAAATTGGAAGTGTCATGAAAGAATCATTTAATATAGATTTATCTTGTTTTTTTAGTAGAATGAAAACCAATAATATAAATCTGATAACACTGATCGTTTTGTTTGTGGCATTCCCACATAATTTTATTCATGAATTAATTTAATAGTCATTGAGAATAATCTTGGAAGTAAGAACACATTTGAATGCAATACCAAGAATAAACCTATTATTACAATATTTAATGGTAATATGAATGTATACAATTGCAAATTGAATAAAAATGATCAAAGCTAAGTAGCAAAAACTTTGCAGAGAATAATTATCATACTAGGAATTATGGAAAATATCAGTAAATAAAAATATTGTTTATTATTATATGTTGAAATCTGGAAAATCTTACAAAAATTAAAAAATTAATTTAATTAAACAACTCCAATGAAACAGATTGAAACAATTCTATTTCCCCCCTTTTTTCTTACTACAGAAATTTCTAAATTGTTTAATAAGAGATTATCGTATATATGCACCTTAATAGAAAGTTCTTACTTCTATTTGAAAGCCACAAACATGATTCACTATATAAAGTAAGCAATCATTATATTATTATTATTATATAGAATTGAACTTTTTTTTTTTTTTGGCATTAGGGTGGAGCAGGACTAGGATTTAGCATAGCCGGCGGAGCAGATAATCCTCATGTTGATAACGACCCAAGCATTTATATTACCAAGCTCATACCAGGGGGTGCAGCAGCACTAGATGGAAGACTCCAGTAAGTTTTCATTTAAGCGTAGTTTCTGTCACTTCAGTTTTTTCATTTTAATTTTTACATTTGGTAGCAGTGCTAGATGCAATCAACAAAGCTTCCCAATTCGACTGTATGACCAATCATGAAAGCTGTCGATTTTATTGAAAGTTTATTTAGCTAAGTGACTCAGAAAAAATAAGAATAACAGAATATTATAAAAAATGATGTTGAAACATTGATGTTGCAATTTTAAATTAAAGCATGGCGGTATACCTTCGTGAAGAGACTACATTTATTAGCCTGGTCACTATGGGCCTGTTCAATATTCTGGTAAAACTTGGTGAAACAGTATCTGCTACAATTTTGATTGAAAAATTGCTGGGTTAAATTGCAGCATGAATCTGTGCTTAAAAAATGTGTAGAATTAATAGAAGGTGGTGTATGCGTGCTAGATTGAAAGTTGTTGAGTAAGTTGGCAGTTATTAGCCAGATCTGTTAAGTGTTTCATTAATTGGATTCAAGACTCAATAATTTAATAGCTGCTTAAGCTTCGGATCTTACCTGCTTACAATAACAATTGGTGCAATTATACAACTTCACCTAAATGCATCATGACAATGATGGCGTTTCAACTAAACAATTATAATTAGTGTATGGCTACAAAATTGTACAGCTTTTTTGAATTAGTGTATGTAACTTATAAATAATAGATAAAATAAATTATAAAGTGCTCAAATCCATTTTATACTGTAGAGTTGCTCTCACATTTTTTACCCATAAAGGGCAGCATTTTTTCTGCATTTTTTATTATTTTTTATTTCTTTATTTGTATGTTAATGTTTCAGACCAACCATCACCTAACAATATTCTTTTGCATTTTATCCATAGGGTTAATGATGTTGTAGTAAAGGTAAACGAAAGTGAAATTCTCGGCGTTCCTCACCAAGAAGCAGTAGATGCTCTCAAGAGAGCTGGCAACACCGTACATATGGTAGGTCTGAGGAGATGATGTTGAGTAACTAAAATAGATCAGAAATTATTAATTAGGAATAGTTAGTGCTACTTGTTTATTGCATTGCGTTCTAGATACAAGAAAGCAATGGCATCTACAACAAGACCTGGAAAGGTGCCCCATTTCTTTTCACTTCTTTGTTCCCTATGAGCCATATGAGACAATATGCATATGTGGTTATGGTTTATATTTCTTATCCGAGACTTGTTCCACCACCAGAAACATAGACAAGCGTGAAACTCCAGCTAGCACTAATATTATGCCTGAAGATTGCGGTACCCCTGCCTTAACCGCTTGGCCATTTGACTTGCCTAAGTATTTTATAAATAATTTATCGTTCACATTCTGTGGTGATTTGGTATCTGATTCTACGCTGCAATTGCTATATAGTCTTCATTCTCAGAAGGTAATGAATCAATTAAAATTAAACCGTTTTGTTCTTCGTTGTAGATTGTGAGAAGGAGGCCGCAACCAAGTGGTGGTTGTTTTACGTTAGAACTAATCAAGGGTTCAAAAGGTCTGGGGTTCAGTATCGCTGGGGGTAAAGGAAATCAGCACATACCCGGAGACAATGGAATTTATGTAACCAAGATCATTGATGGGGGTGCAGCTCAGCAAGACGGTCGCCTTAGTGTCGGAGACAAGATTGTCGCTGTAAGTTATTTTTCAAAATATTTGAATGGTATAAATTAGATTTAGTTTTGGTATCAAAATTATTATTATGAAAAATATTAATAAAAGCATATTTCATATATGGTAAAATTGTTTTAATTTTACCAAAGCTTTCTTTGGTTTTGCATTAATGGCACTAACAGCTCAAAGCTGACTTAAAAAGGCCCTCAAAATACAAAAAAAATCCCATAAATATCATTACTCTATTATTGAAATCTGCAATCAATTATACTATGATTAAAAAGACTTACAATACACTACACCCTCTAATTCAAGACCATTCTAGTTCCATAACCCCTTCTTAATTGGAGACCTCTTTTTCAAATAAGCCAAATAACAATCTTCAATCTTTCAACACAAAGCTAACCATCTAAATTGAGACCTAACACCAGGACCACTTCAGATTTTCATTTCCCAAAGGTTGCCTCGAATTGGAGTGCGAAATGTAATTAATAACAGTTTATGGATCAATTCCATGATAGACAATCTCTTCATGACAGCAACTTTGTGTCTTGTCAAAAATAATTCACTTTGAAAAATATAAGCTTGTCATGTTTGTCATGAGTTAGGGGTTAATTTTTAATAATTCAAGTAAATATTCTATACATTGAGTTGCCTCTCTGATATTTTTTGCAGGTTGGGGAAGTTAGCTTGGAAGATGTATCGCATGAGGTTGCCGTAGCTACACTGAAGGCCACCAGCGAAATCGTCATACTGACGATCATAAAGGGCCAGTCGAACATGTCGTCCCAACCTGCAACGTACTTTCCCATGCCAATGCCCCAACAAGCTCCCGTCCAGTCACCGCAACACATGGCAGCGCCACCAGATGTTTCGTCAATTTCACTTAATCAGCAAAGTAAGTTAACTAATTAATTGGTCACATTATTTATAAATTAATGGGGACAAAATTAAAATTGCCAGCTGTGTTTATCATTTTACCTTTCATGGTTTTAATTATGATTTTTTTCCCCTGAATAGTCTCAATTATTTTTTTGTGGTTAATTCTCCCAATGCATCAGCAATTTCTATGTGCTGTATGTTGTTTATGTCATTTCTACTTTCATGTTTTATTTGTGGTATATTTTTATGAGTATTAAATCTATTAAGTTTTGTTGCTGTTATTTGTCTAAATGCATCAGTAGTGTTATGTGTGCTATGAATTTGATTGTGTCCTTTGAAAATTATATAGATTTCTTTGTAAATAACGAAAAAAATTAGCCTGTGGTTGATGTTTGTCCGGCATTACTACGGAGGGTTTTGAAGCAACCAAACTAAGTGCACTAGGCTAGGCATCGAGTAGGGCATCATATTATAGTTGTTATTTTATCACAATTTCTCCTGTCTATTTAATAGTAACTTCTATGATCCATATACTGCAATAATTGTTTTACTATTTTTAAAACTTTATTAGCTCCCCTTGTTTGACACATATTTTTAATATGTGCAATAGAATCTTTGTATGGTTGATATTATAAGCAAACACCAGGGAAAGAAAACACTTAAACGTGGTACTTTAATGAGGTGCTATGTATATCCGTAAATAAATAGATAGTGATGATAATAATACATTATCACTTCATTCAATTAACATGTTAATTGGAAAAGCTTTCGTTTGTTAAATTGAAACTCTAATTTGAGTACTGTTAATTTTATTTTCTTGACTGTTTTCACTTAGATACCATTTTATTATTTAATTACTTGTTTTAATTAGAACAAGCGTGTTAATGACCCATATTTTTAATCACGCAGCCAAGCTTTAGAGATGTAATGGGACTGCGTGACTTGGTCATAAGATCATTATTTTAAGATGCATCAATGATTTTCATTTTGAATAATGTTTTTAGTTTCAATATTGCTTTTATTCAAATATATATTTGCTAAGACTTAATTAAATTACATAGTATAGCAAGATGACAACCAAGTAGATAAACATATGTTATTGAAAATATAACCTGTTTACCTGTCAATGACAATTGTTTATAAAAGTGGTAACAAGAAAATAAATGTATTGGAGAAGTGATATAATATAAAACCAATTTATGCTATAACATCTGTGTTATGTGTACACGGATATATTATGGAAAATAAAAATAGATTATTTATTTCATCCAATGGCGAACAGTGCAAATTTTTATCCATAAAGATGTTAATAATAAGAAATATTTATACAATATTTTTTTCCTTATTTTATATATTTTTTGTGTATCAGTATTTATTAATACAATTTTAAATTTGTTTTTTTTTTTATACAAGATTAAATACATAAATTTAATATCAAGCTTACAAAGTTACTATTAATATTATGGTTTTGTAACAACTTGTGGATGTTTGTTTTCAATCAATCAATCAATCAGGTAATCAATCGATCAACCAATCTATGCTCTTAGTTTAATAGATTTTATTCAAATATACTTACCAAGACTGAATTGGATTTAGTACAAGATGTTTAATACAGTAGTAACTGCAATAATCTATTACATACCACAAAAGTGGAAGTTGAGTAGAAAGATGTTATTCTACAGAAGCAACCACAATAACTTATTGCATACCACAAAAGTGGGTGATGATTACATTTGATAACTTACTGTAGTAACCAATAACTTATCTTATACCACAAAACTGGAAAATGAGTTAAGTTGTTAACTTATAGTAGACCCCAATAACTTATCGCATACCACAAAACTGGAAGATGAGTTAAGTTGCTAACTTACAGTAAACACCAATAACTTATCTTATACCACAAAACTGGAAGATGAGTAAAGTTGTTAACTTATAGTAAACCCCAATTTTAACTGATCGCATACCACAAAACTGGAAGATGAGTAAAGTTGTTAACCTACAGTAGTAACCCCAATAACTTATCCTAATCAATTTAAGTTAATGTTTAATTAGATAAGATGATGAGTGTATGACTTTCTCTGTGACCTTTCCCATGAGCCTTTCAGCTAAAGTTGTTGACCTTTTAACCCACAGATTATCAACAGAGTCCGATGCAGTCAGCGCCAATGCAGCAGGAGGCCATGTATAGTGCAGTTCATAAACAAGAGGTGCAGACAGCGTACAACAACACAAGCACCCCAAAAATGTATTTACCTGATGATGTAGACTTCCCAAGGTTAGTATAATTTGTCAGCCATTTTATTTTATATGGTAGAATGTTTACTTAATTATTTTTTTGGACCAATAAAAAATGACTTGGTTTTTATTGAAGGTTTCTGCTTGACTTCTTCAGTTGGTGAGAGCACAGTGTGTTGGTTGTTCTAGTCATCAATGCTGATTACAATTTATAGTATACATTTGATTGGATTTATGCAATATTTATTTATATACAGTAGTTCTGTAGTATAAGCCTCACCCCCCCACCCCATTGAACACAATATTAGGCCTATTTTGGGGGG